TTACTTCTCTCCCCTCCTCTCTCCTAGCCTGTCATTTTAAAAACAAATAGAGCTACGAATCCAGAAGTGGAGAAGTGGACTTTGTAAGAGACTGATGATTACACGAACTACTTAAATATGCAAGAGAATGATGCTTTTATGTGAGACAGAAGCCTCCTCAAACCCAAAAGCATCTACTGCTTTCTTGAATACAGGGAATTTGTCTGTGCAGTTTTCTGGTTTTAAAACATACCAAATAATTATTATCTATTTACAAGAGACTATTGCAATGCCAGGAAACCCCATTGTCATTTTTTGCTAAAAGAGATAATAGTATTTTTGTGTCTTTCAAGGATTAGCTTTATTAGGTTCTGGGCCAATCTTGCTAGATTATTAGGTCACTTATATTTCATTGGACCCTGGCTTAGGCACGAGGTGCCAATCACACGGAGCCCTTCTGGCTCTCTTGGCTTTGTCTTTAGAGAAGCTGCCCCCTTAAACTTTGTGATTTGGAAGGCACTCTGAAAAGAGAAATTCTGTTGTCTAGCTCTTGTCTCCTGGATTCATTTTCCAATAGACTTACTTACATCCTGTGGGTCTGCATAGAATCAGAGTCCAGAAGTGAGTCAGGAGGTTTCATTATAAGCAGGTCACACAAAGAATATGGGGCAAACTTTGGTCTCATATAGACTGGTACTTAGCTCTTCCTCCAGGGAAGAATAGCTCAGCTCAGTTGAAGATATGTTGAAGGTTGCTTGGCACTATTCTGCATTCATTTGGATCCTTGTTAGTGTTTTGTCTTTGGTTAGTTATTATCAGTGAAAAAGCACTTGTATAAAGTCAAAGGTGATGGTCCTCTTTGTGTGTAGAAAGGGCTTACCTCATTTGTTTAGATAAAAGTTAGATTTGGGGACAGGGAGCGAAAATGGAGCATGGATATTCCTTTTTATTTCTAGGACTACAGCAAGAAGTTAAAACAGGTGATTTACTTAAAGTCTTAGGGAATCATTTTCATACTTATCCTCATTAACATCACAGCTAACAATTCCTGAGTGCTTACACTCTGTTAGAACTTGTACTGAGTTGGTCTTTGCATATATCATCCTGTCTAATCCCCACAAGAACCCCATGAAATTGCCTTGAGAAACTGCTACAGCCACTAGTGCTGTGGGTGAAGTGCTTTGCCTTTGGTCTTTCCCTGTAGACACAGCCCTATGACTGAAGCTCAGTACACTGTATTGATAACACTAGATTTACTTTGCTTTGGGGTCCTGTGGCTTTATGTGACATCATACATATGCCTTTAGCAGTGTTCAAACTGTATGGTGGAGCCTCTTGGAATCTCCTCAGTTGAACTTTGAGATGAGTGCTGGATGCCAGACAAACACTAAATTAAAAATTTTAGAATAAAAACAGAGACAAGTGGATAAGTTAATCAGCTCTTTAATCCTGCCAATTACAGTTTATAAGTGACCATGTCATTTCCCCCTCCCTTTCCTTTTGTTCTTTGAATGGACTCAGACACTTATTCTTTCTAGAAGTCACATGAATACCAAGAGTCTTCATATTACTCTCCAAATGTGACTACATATTTGTTCCTTCTAGTGTTGATGCTGTTAAAATATCTTTTTCTTTCTTACTCCAACTCAGGTCTGAGTCGAGGCATATGCCAAGCCAAAGAAACTCATTGCTTTAGCCTCAGACTTTCCCAGAGAGTTCCCCATATGAAACAAACCTACAGAAAGCTAATAGCAGGGGTTTCTCATCCAGGAAAATCCTCTGTGGACTTCTCTGGTACAACCAGTCCTAGAACCATGTATCTAAAGGCTTTTACCTGCTTTTCTGTAGCCACCAGATAAGGATCAGGTCCTTATTTGTAAAAGATAGAGGCTCAAAATTGCTTCTCTTATTAGAAATGATTGCTGTCCCCCTCATTGCACACCTTATGTATTATTTGTTCCCTGGGTTTAAACCTCAGTGATGAGTGTGGGAAGGGGACAATTATCAAGGCAATTATGGCATCACTACCCCATCATTTTCCCGGGTTACAGTGATTTCTAAATCTTTCCATTTTCCTTATAGACTGAATCACTTGAGTAGTTTCCTCTGTGACTTTTGCTGCTTTCTTCATTGTGTCAACCACTGTACTTGAGAAAAATGCCCAAAGCAAGTTTCCAGAAATTCCATTTCTGTTTTAAGTGAGGTTAAAAGGAACTTTCCTTTTTTTAGTTTTTAATGAGCCATTGATACCATAAACTTGCATATTATAACAAAAACAGCATTTACTCATATGAAGAACTGACAAAGGAAATGATCAAGAACCAGCTATAAGACTCTTGTGTTCCTCTGGCCGCAAGAAGGTGTAGAGCATAGATAGAATGTAGAAATTGGAAAAAATCTTTCCAAAGACTTGTTTGGACAGATCTGTTGCTTGAGAGAGTAGTGGGTCTCATGCCTGGTATCTTCAGAGATGATTGCTGATCCTTCCATTCTTTCATATCAAGCTTAATGAGGGGGTTCCCATGGAATCACTCAGAAAGATTGCAATATGCTCCTTGCTATTGGGAGATCTAGAGAACTTGAGAAAGCTACAGCCATGGTAGAACCAAGAATGTATTTTCTGCATTCAAATAATCATTGACTCCTAGAGTTTATGGAGACAAGGAACGTATGACGGTATCTTTTGGATGAAATGTGGGCCACATAGAAAGAGCTGACAAGTGATCTTGCATTCTGTCAAAAAAGGGAGCCATTTTAAGGGGAAGAAGATTTTCAAGAGCAAGAAACTAGCTTTGAACAGCAGACTTGAAGACACATGTAAAAAGTTGTAAATGATCAATAAAAATAAATGATACCTCTAACTCACAAGAAAGAGCCAACAATCTTAGATTCTGTGAAAAAACAGCCATCATAAGGGGCAGAGGATTTCCAGGGGCAAGAAACTACATTTGAACATAAGATTTGATCCTGATACATTTGATCCTAAGTAATATATAAGAAGTTGCAAATTATCAACAAAAATAAATGATACCTCTAACTCAGATGGAATTGGGAGTGGGAGCACTGGGAAATCAACCTAAGATAGAATAAAAATCTAAAGTTTTAAGGAATGTATTGCAGGAAGGCTGATTATTGTTGGGAGAAATCCATATTTAGATGACACAGACTTATTAGAATATAAACTCCACAAAGGCAAACAATGTGATTATTTCACCCAATATAACATTTTCAGCACCTGGCAGAGTGCCTGGAATGGAATTGTGGTTCAATAATTAATTGAACAAATGGGTGCTACTATTTGAGTGCGCTGGCTTCATTTCTGAAATTTGCTTAGGCTTGTTGGCAGAGAAATTGTTAAACTAAAACAGCCTACCGTTGAATGCTTACACAATGTTAGGGCAAACAATGTGTTGACATGTTCTTGGGGGAAACATTTGTTAGATGAGAATAGACAGATCTTTCTAGCACTCACACTACAAGTTTATGGAGAGGTGATTCACATTAAGAGATCATAAAGCAAACCTGAACTCACGAGATAGAAACTAGAAACTCATAATTTTCCACATTGCTATAATCCATGTCTAACTAGTTCAATGCTCTGAGTAGCAAAACTTTCCGGGTTCTTCCTGCTCCTTTCTGCCTTGATCTATTACAGAATTCCTAGATTCTGTTCTTTCTTGGTCTTTTGGTTGCCTTTTGGTTCATTCTAGGTGAATGGCATCAGGAGTTTGAAGTAATCAGTTTAGTTGTCATTCTGATGCTGTCCTGGTTGCTATCTTTCTGATTTCTCTTGGCCTCTTGCTCTGTCATCTGTGGACCAAGCCTGCCATTTTGCCATTTTGTCATTTGGATGCACCCCAAATTCCCTCTGATGTCCTTGCTTCTGTGGGAAGGCAAGTCCTACTGCCTTAGTCACTTTCTCACCCATGAGACAAAATACCCAACACCTCAAACTTAAAGGAAGAAAGGTTTATTTTGGCTCATGTTTTCAATCCATAGTCTGCTGCATCCAAGACAGGAAGGGAATGGTAGAAGGGTCTGGTGGAAGAAAGCGCCTCACATCATGGCACCCAGAAAGCAGAGAGAGAAGGGAGAAACCAGGGAGGGAGATATAACCTTCTGGTTCATGATCCCAGTAACACACGTCTTCTGACCAGATCCATTCTCTTCTCAGCAAGTCAGGTATAGTGCCCCCATGATCCAATCCCTTTCCAAAAGTCCCACCACTAAATACATGAGTCTTTTGGGGGATGCTCCAGATCCAAGCCATGACATCTATTTTTTGAGAATATGCTAGGCACTATGAAAATGACTATGACTAGTAAGTTCTACAACTGTTTTGCAGTGTTATAATCAGCAAGTCACTTGCTGTGCTGTGTTGCATCTGAAATGCAACAGAGAGGTAAGCAAATCAGGTTATGGAGAGCAAAGTCACGTGAGGAGGTTTAAATTATATCCTGTGAGAAGAAGAGATCTATAAATGGATTTTAAACAGGGGATTAATGTGAGCAGTATTCAGATTATACTGTGTTCTTGATGACATTGGGGCAGCATTATGAAAGTCAAACCTTGTACAGTACCTTTGGGATTTTTGAGACAAAATTATATTTGTCTTCACATGAAATGGCTTCAGTTTCTTATACATTTTTACTTTTCATTCCTATTCTTCTAGTTTTCCCCCCATCTCATTACTTACTGTCAAGTTCTCAACTATTGCTTACTTATCTCATTATAGCTGTTTCCCTAGAGCAACCTCAGACTTCTTTTTGATTGATTTGTAGTTGGAAAAACAAATAGAAGAATTTGTGTTGCAATTCTACATGTATTTTAAGTTGTTGTTAAAATGATTATTAGTAGCTTATAGGCACTACCCCACACATTAAGTGCTATGGCTTTGTAATATCTTTGTAGTGACTTAAAGCTTCCTATCTCCATATTTTTATAATCTGATTTTCCTGGATAGTGAAATACCAATTACCAAAAAAGTAGATCTACTAGAAAGTATTTGGAACTATGACAAGTGCAGGTGGCATAATGCAATATTTTTATTAGGCAGAAACATAGATGGGAAATTCAAAAAAGAACCACAGGTAAATGCTCTAGTATCCATTTGTTCTGAGAAGATCTCTCAGATGCTGGCCATTTCATTTTCAAGAGCTTTGGTCAATGTTGGACCTCAAGCCCACACCCGGGGCTTGATGATGACATACCCTTTCAATTCATAGTTCAGCTTCTGCCAGTCCAGGATATTAGCATTGAGAGGGGACCCCTCATACACAGACTGGATCTCTTCTGGAGACAGCACAGAGTTCCACATGTACAAGTCCCCAATCTCTCCCACGAAGGACTGGCTCCGATCAAACTTTCCACCATAGGCATCCTGCTCCTGCCCCATGATAATCTTGGGTTGAGATGCCACAGAGTACCCCTTCTTCAGACCTTTTTTCACCAAAGGCTTTTCATTGACCCAAAACTCAGCAATGCCGGAGGAGGACTCCCAGCTTGTACAGATGTGCACCGGAGCAGGAAACTCTTCAGTGACCTTGGCTGTGACTTTGCTCCCCCCAATGTATAGACTGTACTCTCCAACTTTTTCTTTATAGAGTAGTAATTCATTATCCTTGCCCTGGGTGTTGTAGGAGAAGAGGCTGTAGGGGCGGGAAAGGTCACTATAAGCTCGTAAACACAAGGTAAAGTTCTGCAGAGGCTCCTCCAGCTTTGTAATCAGGCTCACGTGATCACTGGCAGATTCTCTAGGGAACACAAATACTTTCTCTTTGAGGTCTGTGGGGCAAAATAAGACATATAATGACTTTTACTTAGGGGCAAAAACATTTCAGGTTCAACCTCTTTTCTCATTTCATGCTCCTTGACCATCCCCTGACCTCCCTACCTGTCTGAGCAAAGGTCTCCAGGAAGATGGTAAGGACAGAGACCCAAAGAAGCATCTTGTCCATATTCTTGGGCTGGGGCTCTGACAGCAGCAGCAGTGACAGCACAGTGTGGGAAACAGCACAGTGTCTGCCCACTCAGCTCTGAGATTCACACTCTGAGATTCCAGGCGCTTTAGACTTTATCTGCACCTGGGTTGGGGCTGGGGGATGGAGAGCACAGTAACGTGTGAATGATTTTCCAGCCCCCCCCCTGCCCCCAGTGCCAGTAATCAGAGCTGCTGATGAAAAAAGAATGATGAAGCCCTGGGCTGGGAAATCAATTTGAGTTATTTATTAGACACAAGTGATGGGCGTGTCGGTGGCCCAGGCTCTGTTGCTGGGAAGAGGGTGTTTGCAGAGTTCCAGAGTTATGGATGGGAGGAGGGGTTGGGCTGGCCACAAGGGGGGCCTCACCCCACTCTCCAGGGGCTTCTTCATCTGGTGGCCCTGTGTTCTGCCATGTGGAGGGTCTTCCTAGGCCCCAGTCTCTCGTGTTGTGGAAACAAGGCCTTCCTTGTCTAGTTCTGTGAAGCAGCCTTCTGTTCACAGGATATTATGGGATTCTGCTGCACACCTTGAAAAGTCCCTCTACCTTGATTAATCCAGGGGAAACAGACAATCAGAATATAAACTTTCTGACCCCACTGAGGCTCAGTTGTTTTTGTTGTTGTTGTTCCTGTTAGCTCTGTTTTGTCTTTTGAATATCATGCTGCTTTCTTACCCTACATTTTCCATTTCTCATTATGTCTTTTTCTGGTGATATACTCGCTCCCTGCAGAGATGTTGGCGTCTCCCCCAGTTTTCGTCTCTCCTTTGAGTCAGTCTTTCGGCCATTGAGGGTATCTAGTCAGTCTTTGCGGATGACTCCATCAATGCATTACATTCACATTTGTTTACTAATTTCCAGGCACCACACTAGGTGCTGGGATTCAATGGTGACTGAAGTTCCTGGAACCTCAGTGACTTTCATCTCCATTCTCTCTGCTGCCACTTAAAAAAAATCACTGTTTATCAGTCATCCCTTAAGCCTGTTCTGCCTCCAAGATATCAAACTGATGTCTTCCTTTCTGTTTGCATTATCTTCCTTCTCTTTACTCCTAATTCTATGGACTCTTCATTCTCATCCTATTAACTACCTTCTTCTTCTTTCTCTCTTTTCTCAGCCTACCCCAGGCCTTCTGATCAACTTTTTCATTGACACAGTAACTGGCACTAATAATTCATTAATATTCAAATTATCCTTCATATCTTCATCTCTGGGTAGTTTCCATTCCTAATTCTTTTTTTCCCTTTGAGCTGAATTCCAGAGTATGAAGCTTTATTTGACTTGTTGTGCAATAAGAGCGAGTATTGGAATTGAAGTTATACAACCTGTCACATTCTGAATTAAATACAGATCCTTCTGCTTGGAAGCTAGTGTTGTTTCCAATGTTGCTCCAACCTGACTGTAATCTCTTAAATCCTATTCTCTAGTCACATACCTCTAATTGTTCTTCATTGATGTCTGACTTTCTTGATTTTGCTCCCTCTAGTTAATATTTACATTGCCTTGAAATTCTCTCTCATCTTTCTCTATTTCTTGAAATCCTAACCACTCTTCAAAATTAATCTTGAGAGAAATCTGCTTTGTGAAGATTTTTCTGATGTCCCCACCAGACATTGTTTTTATCTCTTTTGGACTTCTCATAAAGTCTTAACCAATTACTTTGGAATAGAATCCCAGTGTTGCCATTTGCCAGTGGTTGACTATTGCACAAAGCACTATAGCATTCAGAACTTTAGGTTCTTTCTCTGTAGAACAAAGATAAAACTATCTACCTCATAGTGTTTGGGGGAGGATAAGTGAGATAGTAAAATATGCATAAAGTACACAGAACATTATCTGGATGGCTATTATTATTAGTATTACCATTTAAAGCCTTTTATGGCTATTACCGTAATCTGCCTCATATTAAAGATATTTGCATATTTATCTCTTTTTTCCCCCAAGAATGAAGATGGTTATTAGGTCTTATTCATATTTAGGTTACTCATTTTATCTAGCAATATGTTTTCACATGAAAGTAACCTGGTATACATTTGTGGAGTCAGAGAGTTCAAGCAGGGAAAGGATTTTTTACATGTGGCAGTTTAGCAGCAATACAAAGTAGAATAGATCATGCTTAAATATGAGCTGGGAGATATCCTTTATCATAAACCTAGGGGATGTGCAATTCCTGGTCCCAGATGTTAATTAATGAGTACCATAAAATTCAGAGAAAAACTGCTCTAGCTTTCATCATAAATTAATAAATTACCATTCTGTCAACAAAAAGTAGTTTGAGGATCAATATAGAAGAGAATCTTTTTAAATGGACCTATGAGGAATGATTGAAAAATATGGTGAATGTTTACATTAAAAATTATTTATTACAGCCAGGCATGGTGGTGCATCCCTGTAATCCTAGCACTTGGGAGGCTGAGGCAGGAGGTTTGCTATGAGTTTGAGGCCAGGCTGGGCTACATAGTGAGTTCAAGGTTAACCTGCACTACAAAGCAAGACCCCATCTCAAAAAACAAAAAAAATTATTTATTACAGTAAAAGACATATTTCCTTTGGTACCCCTCAAAATACTTCCTCACTTTAGTCACCTACTTACCCCATCATTCTTACCACTTTTTGGAGCAATCTTGGAAGACATTTTTCATGAATGTCTTTAGTTGTGTTGTTGTGGTTGCCTGGATGTCCTGAATATGTACCTTTTATGTTCATTGGGGAACCTTGGGGAAAGAGCCAGAAGTCATACAATGCCAGATTCAGTGAATAAGGTAGATACGGACATACCATAATTTTTATGGGCTTGCCTTTTTGGATGGTTACTGGACAGCAAGATTCAATGAATTTTTTTAATCACAACTTGCTAAGAAAACTTCCAGAACTGCTTCAGAAAGTGGCAAGAATGATGGGATAAGTGTTTTGAAAGTGAGAGGGAGCGTTTTGAGGGGGGTAATAATGGCAAGATGTCTTTTACTGTCATAAAAATTTTAAATTTAAACATTCACCCCTTGTGATTACCATTTGTAAGTTCATGGAACTGGACTGGTGGATAAATGAGTCTGAAGAGGTTGCAGGTAAGAAGTTTTGTACTACTGTTGGTAGCCAAGTGTCAGGGCTTATAGTTGAACATGACATTGTGTTCATATATTGGGAAGAGGCAATCTTGTTTGAAAAGTAGGGTATATAGTAGAATGGGGGTCTGGATTTTCCCTTTAGTTTCCTTCTGTGGAACATGCCTCAGGTTTTGTGAGGGAAGATCCCATGTTTAAGGAGTTGTCAAAATGGACACAAAAGGGAGATTCCATTGTGGAAAGGAAGGCTCTGAAATTGGGGATATGGGATATAGGAAATTGAATTGAATTGGGGATTCAGGATATAGGAAAATGAATTCTGGGTCTTTTGAGTCTCTTCCTGCCAATGAACCTTTAAATTGTAGTGGTGGCTTCTGTCTGGATGGTTCTAGAAGGTTTGACTTTGAAGGAGGCAAGATGACAATGTGTTAAAAAAAGGCAGGGCATATCTGTGTGTCTCAAGCAGAGTTGTCTTGCTTTAATCAGTTGGCATACAGTAGTTGCCCTAGAGAGGATAGGGGAAGAAGGTAGTGGCCAGAATGAGCATCTGACTCAAAGCTGCAATAAAGTAGGGGGTTAAGAAAGGTTACCTGAAGAATTAAAGAATATCCTGAAGATATCTCCCATGGTCTTGGGATTTTACTGATGACAGACAATTATAATAACTATTAGGAAAGTCTGGATAGAAAGAGACTAAAGTAGAACATGGAGCAGTATGAAGAATTTTAGTACTAATAATTATTTGCTGTGTATTTTGCTAGCTACAAAGATATTGAGGAGCATTTGGATATGAAGATGGAGGCATTAAGAGTAACTAATCATCACCCTGATATGTGATTGTATAAAATCAAAGCTATACAGTCTTCTATGGATCGTAGGGTCTCATGGAAAAGAAAAAAAAAGAGCAAAGATGAGAATAAGAATATACAGAATATGGAAACAAAGTAAATTTTACTCCAAGTTTTTGATTGCATATTATCTTAGACCATTTTGTGTTGCTTTAACTGAATGGCAAAGACTGGGTAATTCATAAAGAATAGAGGTTTGTTAAGCTCACATTTCTGGAGTCCAAGAGCATGGTATCAGCATCTAGTGAGAGACTTCTTGCTACATTGTACCTTGGTGGTATCACTTGGTAAGACAGAGAGCTTGCTTTTATAACAAAGCCACTCCCAGAATAAGCTGTTGATCCATTAACCTTGAATGACCAATCACTTCACAAAATTCCTATCTCTCAGCCATTATTGACATATGACTTGGGGATTAAGTTTTTAAAACACAAAATTTGGGGAGCATATTCAAAACACAGGACATGTGAAGTGGAAAAATACAATGCTACTGTTGTAGATAGGACAACAGAGAAGATCATTTGGAAGACATAGAGAGGTGATAAGTTTGGTCCGCAAAATGCTAAATTCCAAATGATGGTATGACTTATACATTAAAAAGGCCAGAGGAAAATTTGAAATATGTGGCTGCCATTTGGTATTCAAAATACGTGTTTCAGAGGAATCAGTATGTATTTGTTGATGAGACAATAGATTACCTTTTTCAGTGGACATGAGAAGAGAGAAAAGGTCAGAGTTAAATGCTGACTCCAGGGAACATTTGCCTTTGTGAGGCTGGAGGGAAGAGAGAAGTTGGGGGTGGCACAGAGGGACAGTGTGTGCAGTGTCATGGAAACCAAGTTAGTGCAGGTTTCGAGGAAGCAATGTCCAGTAGTATTAAATGCATCAGAGAGATGTAAGTAGAAAGGATGCTGGATTTCGCAATAAAAATTTCACTGGTGACCTTTGAAAGAGCAATTTTCGTAAAATGAACACAGCAGAATTCAAGTTTTAGGGGACGATGGAGGGAGAAATAGGAAGGAGGCCTGTTTTGTGTGGTACAGTAATTCTGACAAGGAACAAAGGGAAAAAAACAACAGATTCTGCTCAGGAGACTAAGGTTCCAGTGTGTATTTCCCACACAGATTACAGATTTCCTTTTCTTGACAGAGAGGTTATTTTGTCTGTTTCCCACTCCATAGCATTTCCTCTACCAGTACAGAAAAATCGGTATC